AACAACAACAACAATAGAAGTGATTTAAACGACAAGCGTCTGTTGTTATATCAAATATTATACCATTTTTTTATAAGAGACTAGAGCATCTACAGATTTTGGTATCCAAGAGGAATCCCAGAAACAATCTTCTACAGATACTGAGGGACAGCTGTACATCATTTGTTGTTGTTTTAACAAATTTGTACAAACGTATATCTTTGGCTCATTAAAACGTAGAGAAAAGAAATAACAAAGAACTCACATTCCTTGAGAAGTAAACTTTAGTTTCACAGTAGTTTTTCTAATTAAACAAGTCATAATTTCTCATTTTAGGAAATGAAGATGTAAAAACAAACAAAAAAAATACAATACTGGTACTAAGAAATCAACACAGTGAATATTATATGTTTGAGTTTTTCATTTTACTCTGTTTTTTTGTTTACTGTTTATTTTGCCTTTCTCTAATCATCTTTATCATAGATAAGTATGCTAATTGTTGTAGGATTTCACAGGATTGTGAAAGTAAGAAAAGTTACAGTTAAAATTTATTAAGAACAGGTGTAGGCAATGTCAAAAACTACCTGATAGGTTCACAATGCTCAGCTATAATTCGTGAAGGGATTCTAGGAATAAATTTGCCTTCATTCCCAAAACAATACGAAGTGGACATTTCTCAGTGCCTAACAATCTCTCCTGTATTTTTTTTCAGTAGGGTAATTTTTACTCCGAGATAGTTGTTTTGTACCCTCTTTTCCATCTGCAAATATTCCTCTATATATCATTTCCATTTCACTTTCCCTCAGTCATGATTTATATTATTGAAAAAGTAGTAACCATTTTAAAAATGTCTTAATTTTGTCCCCAAACCTGTACTTGGATCTCTTATTTCTTTTTTATTTTATTACATAGAAGATAGTTCTTTAATCAGAGATCACACAGTTCTTTCATGTGTGCTCTGAATTCTATTGTCAGATATGATTTCATTTTACTTTCTTCTGTACTCACTGGAGTTTGTCCATTTCTGCTCTTCTTTTCCTTCCTTAATAAAGTCTTTAGAGTCTTTTATTTGTTCTCTCTGCCTGGACTCATCTTACCTAACTCTTGAGATGACTGGCTCCTTTCTTTAAAAACCTTCTCATTTCAGGTCATTTCTTTTCTGTGTAAAACCAAAATGAAACCAAAGCCACTGCTGTCACGGTGATTCTGACTCTTGTTGGTCCTCCACTGAGTTTTCAAGGCTGTAGATCTTTCCTGGAGGAGATTGTGTTCCTGTGAATCAGCTGGGGAATTCGAATTGCCAAGCTTTTGATTAACAGCCCAACATACAACGCACTGTGTCACCAGGGCTTCTTTTTCTATCCAGAGTACTTCAGAAGTAATTTCCATCCATGCTTATTGTTGATGCTTCTTTTTCTCAAGTGTCACTCCCTATCTCTCTACTCCTCTTCAATATTTGTTTTTTAAAAAATTAAATCAGGATATGATGATGTTGTTTCCCCCCCCCCCCCCCCAGTCAAAACCCATGTTTATAAGTATTTGTATGTGTGTGTCTGTATAGATGTTTTCTCTAGCTAAACTGATCCTTATAATCCTCTTTATTCTCTTTGCGCAAGGCATTTTTGCACTCCTGCTTTTACTTGTGTGCCAAGTTCTTTCCTTATTTTTGGGATTTTATATATACTGAAGCCTGTGTCTTATCTAGGGAGCTCTGAAGGCCTAGTGGTAAGGAATTGCACTGCCAACCCGAAGACACATGGTTCAACTCCACAAGCTGCTCCTCTGGAGCAACAAGAACAATCTCCTCCTGTTCAGTTTATTGTCTCTGAAAACCCTCTAGAGGGGCAGCTGTGAGTCACTTCTGATGTGACACCGTGTTGCAATAACAATACAGCTGTATCTTACCTAGGGAGCCCTAGTGACCTAGTCCAAAGGGAATTTAGCTGCTAAACCCAACGCAGCAACTCTCTGGTGCCTGGAATCCACCAGCAGCAATTTGGGAGAAAGATGGGCAGTCTTCCATGCACATTACAGCTTCTGAAAACCCGCGGGAGGGACAGCGATGAGTTGATTCTGACTTGATGACAGTGAGGAGTTTTCTTTTCTGCCTTATCAGCTCTTGCTTTTTACTTTTTTGCTTGAGTAACAAGTCTTATGGCAGAAGCTACTTTTTTCCCAGTAACATTTTCTCACTCACCTCTGACATAAATATTTTTTGTTAAGTGCCTTTTGTAACCATATTTTCTATCCCTTTGGAGATTTTTTATTACTTTCTGAAATTAATTCATTTATCAAATATTTATTGTATGCTAGGCAGTGTTTTAGATACCATAGATACAGCAGCCAATAAAATAGTTTAAAAAATATTTTATCTGGAGTTGGCGGTGGGGTGGGTGGGGAGAAAAGTGAAACAATGAATGAATGGAAATCCAAAATCTCTGTAAATGTTCACTGAAATTAATAAAAAAAAATAAGACAAAAA